CATTTAAATATTCTCCAAATGAGCACTCAGAAGAAAAAATAATGCACTAAACTGCAATATGCCGAAAAAGAACCGAACATCAAATCGATAATGGAGGTCGCCCACGCAACAATAAATTCCCCACTACAGACACTCTGACCTCAAAAACACACAAAATCATATTTGGTTATTCAATACCATAAAAATTGAACATCTGCAATTTTCACAAAATTGAGATTCGCACAACGAGACGAGTTAAAACTATTAGCTGTGATTACTTAATTAACCTAGTGTTGGCATATTACTTCCCCAACTCTTTTAGCTTTATTCAGCAACGAAACACTGCATTTCCACATAAATTAGGTACGAGATCCGATTCTGAATCATTTAAGCCACTAAATTATTACCATTAGTGTAAATTTTCCATAAAGCACAGAATAAGTAAAACAAATAAAGCAATTTCTTGCGTGAAAAAAGTCACCTTAATGTTGGAAAGAAGGACAGGGGATTCAAGGAAAGACGTCGGACTGAGGCCTGGAGGAATAGTAATACTAGTGGACCTGGAGATCGGGAGCTTCGCCGGAGACATAAGCCTGTACTTCGCTCCGTTACTCGATCCGCCGGTGGCGGAGCTTCCTCCATCTTTCACGTGATAGCTGAAATTATCGGAAGGAGAGTGAGGGAATGACTGAGCATCTGCCATTGACGAGAAATTAAGAAAAAGAGAGTCAAAATTAGAGATTATCTTACAGCTTTTGAGGGGGAAAGCGGGCAGGGGTGATTCTGGAATTAGGAAAGAGCGGGGTAGGATGGTAATTCCGACTTTCAAGTGAGGTTGTCTGTAGTGCGACCATAGATATCGCTTGTCGGAGTGGGCACAGTTCTAGTACTACGCAATTGACTTTAGAGCTTCAGATCTGCGTTCTCATTGGTATATACTTCTCCAATTGGTTCGTTACAAGTGGACGGTGGAAAACCACGTGTGCTAGGAAATTTATTAGAATTTGCCTAGTGGTACATAATAAGGTGTACCGAATAGTGTACACCCCACTCACATAGGTGTGGGATCCCATATGAAAGAAAGGATTTTTATTCGAGTTGGTCTATCGTCCATGTGAGTGGGGTCACCCCGATATATTGTTAGTAAAATCGAATTTATTATTCTTGTCTTCTATTTTTTTTCATGTTATTTGTAAATCATTTCTTACAATATTGGTTGACAATTATATTTGTCAACATTATATTCATCCATTTCAAAAATCGTTTTTAAAAATGGACCAAAATTTGACAATATCAATGTTGTCATCTGTTATTGTTGTATCTATTATTGTCAACAACAATTGTACAAGTAGATTAATATTTTTTTTTTTTAAGGTTTTATTCTTCACGAGTAACCATTCCCTTAAATTTTGCATAATCATTATCAATTTCTTGATTAATCCAATAACGTTTGTTCTTTAAGGAAAAGGGGGGAAATCTTTGCCATGATATCATTTTGATTTTATCTAACGTCAACTATGCTACAATGCTATTTAATGCCAATAATGCTACAAAATATTGTAACTAATAATGCATAGAATAGACTATCCATTTTATAAATCTTATTATTTATTGTTGTGACCTCTGGAATGGGGAAAAATTATCCCAAACAGGTAAAATTAAACTAGAATCGATTGGTTTGATCTAGTTCGAACTGATTCTTGCACAAATAAATTCATTTTGGTTCATTTGATTAAAAACTAGCGCAAATTGCTCCAATTCCAGAAATAGGTATAAGCAAGCTCTGTGCGCTCCGAATTTGTTTCTTTCAGAGGATATTTGGTGAAAATTAAAATTAGATTTTTTAATAATTTGTGATAAAAAAAAATTTGAAATTGGTGGTTAGAAAGTCGTGGGATCCATAAAAGATGTGGTTAATATTGATTGTTTGACTTTGACTTAAATTAAAATCAGCTTTTAATCAAAACCAAACATAGCCTCATCGATAAATCCCCAAATAATACAGTCAATTCAGTTCTTTCAAGAATCGGACAAAGCTACACCTCGCCTACTTCTAGCACCATTTGTCCCAAATTAGTTAAACATATTAACATAAAAATAGGTAAGAATGCATTTTTCCTTTTTGTTGCACTGCTTTTGAATGACATTAAAATTCAAAAGGTCTTGTTTCCTTGTTTGCTATCTTTTAATTGGACTAGAATTCCACAACTTGACTTATTATCACATATCAAGGCAATTAAACTTGCAGCAACAAATAATTATAATCACCACCAAATATATCAGCTTGTTTGAGCCCCATTATTTAGAAAAAAATACATTCTTCTACAGTATATTGACATCATTCAACCACACATTCTTCAAAAGAATAATATTACACGTAAATCCAAAATTTTTCCTTATTTTTTAACCACACATTTTCCATCAATATACTACTCAAAAACTCATTTTTTTTCCTCCAAAATGGGGCTCAAACAAGGGATATATATGTATATAATAAAATAAAAACTTCGATAATTATTTACAAGATATCGCTAGAACAACAAAAAATTCACCCCCAAATTAAATTTAAAAGATAAAATGACCCATTCATAGCATTCAATATTTGCTAATTAGAGAAATGTGACATTAAGCAATGAAATCTCTCTCTCTCTCTCTCTCTCTCTGTGGGGGAAGGCCATTGCTTCGGATAACTAAAGACAAGATCCTCGAGGTTCCCTCCCGAGCTTACTTAGGAAGACCATTGCTTTGGATAACTAAAAATGAAAAGAGGTGCTTTGGTCCCAAAATTGAACTTATCCTAGGCAATTGCATGTATAAGTTCCCAAAGTACATTGATTTTGTCTGAGACCATCTAGCACCAAAAGAGCAACATCTCCAATGTCGAAAAAATGTGCAGAAGTAAACGAAGCTTGTACACCAACACTATATCCCTCACAACTAACCTCAATTAACTTAAAGTATACACAGTCGATGCTTAGATCACATGTTCATTCTATGAGACATCGACAAATTATTCCCCTTGTACATGGGTATAACTGGAAGGGACCATACAGGTGCTGCCAGTATGGTTATGTTTTTCTTTGCCAACTGTTAATGAAAAAATGCCATCTGTCTCCCTGTAAAGAGCTTGGCAATTTTCCCCCGTACATGTAGCATTAATCTAAAACAACACAGATGGCATTGTGATTCTAACAGATAAAATGAGCAGGGAAATGCCCAAGTCAATGGAGCTACGGGGGCATAGGACACTAATTGCCCTTTCAGACAGGTGTGCAGGTACATCATAGTTCATATGAGTTTCCATCGCAAATAGGGCTTACATGATATCCACCAACCAAAGAGCACACTACCAAGCCTTCTCTAAACAGGTACCAACCTAGGTCAATGCCACCTTAAACTAAATGATTTGTTAACCACCCTACAATGCAGATGGTTGTAAAACATCTAACACCAAACTTGAAAGGCAGACCGACTTCATAGAATCTGAATAAAGTTAGCAAAACATAGAAAGTTTTGCTAACAGCGGAAAGCAACAATTAAGATCTAAGATAATCTGCAATTTGCAGCCAATTCAAAGGCTGCGGAGGAGACATATAAGTTGGGGGAGGGGGCAGAAAAAATGTTAAAAGGTGAAGTGCTTTAGTATCTCTTCTTTTTTCGTAAAAATTAAATGAAAAGAACTCAAATTAGATCTACATTTGCAGAGTAAAGGTAAAAATGCGGTTTCAAGCAGGTGCTGAAAACGGAAGTATATGAAGTGTGATGGCAACGAGATGTTTTGAAAGCATTGAATCCTAATTCATTTTCATGCAGGGAAACTACAAAATAACAGATAGGACTACTATCCAGTCAAAAGTTACGAAAAGAAAAACTTCCCAATTTGAAAAAGTTCCTAGCTGTTCTGAAAAAGCTCTAGAGTGACTGATTATCATGAGACATGTCATGATGAATCCCAATTGATTGATCTAAACCATGAGGCTGGTTGAAACACGTCACAGGAATCCCACATATTAATAAACATAGGAAAGACAGAGATATAGCATACTGTGCCAAAATTGCAGTAATCAAAAAGCATGTCATGCCTTCTGATAATGGCTGTCTACAATCAGACATGCAAGGAAACCATCCAAAATTTGCAGAACCACATACTACTGTGGATAGTAACCTGGATGGTATTGAGGTGGTATGACATATCCACCATAACCAATTGCAGCGTCATAGTAACTAGGTTGCCCTTGTCGTTCTGATGGATAAGCATTGGTTACAGTTTGATTGACGTTCCCAGAAAACCCCATGGGGGCTCCCGGAAACCCATGCAAGCCAGCAGATGAGCCAGCATACATGTCAGCAGCCACGTGGGGACCTGCCCTGCCGTAGGCAGGAGAACTGCTGTACAGAGCAGCATTATCCGGCAACAAGCCTACTGTCTGCACGTGAGATGGTTGTGATGGAAAAACAACTGGTTTAGAACGATTTTTATTTTTGACTGCCAATGGACCAGTAAATTCCTTCACTCGCTTGTTTCCCCTCTGCTTTTGTTGCTTTGCCTGCTGAGGAGGTTTGGGCACGGTGGCTGTTGCAGGGCGTTTCTTGTCAGCCTTCTCCTTCTCCAGCTTCTCAATACGAGTTACAAGGATATGTTTTGGATACTGTGACTCTAGACCATGATCATCAATGCATTTAATCACCGACTTCAATGCACTGATTTCTTTCATCACAGCCTCGTTCTACAAAAGCAGTTGAAAATGTCAGTCTACGGCATCTGGGGTGAAACTAAGTACAATCAAAAAAAGGATATGAAAGATTACCAAAGACTGACGAGAGCTCTTTCCACTCTTGCGAATTTTCTGAACATTTTCCTTTGAATCTATCACATAGGCTTTTAATAATGGCACTGGAGGAAACTCATCAGTCAGCTCAAATTCAAAAATGAATTTGAGAGCCAGAAGTTGTTTGCCCTTGCTGATGAGTTTCTGAATAACATCTGTGAGAGGCCATATATATTGCTATTGGCATCAAACTATTAAATATTTGCACAAAAGAGCTTTACAGCATAAGCAACTAAGTGGCACAACTTAGTAGGACTGAACTTGCTCAGCCACAAGTGCATAGCACATGGTGAATTTGCTCGTGCACAAGCAAAAGAAAATGACTTCAAGACAATGCTTCTTACCAATCATCCAAACAATTTCCGCAACTATTTCAACATAAAAAGACAACAGCACAAACTTACTCCTTTCTACTAAAGATTTACTTTCCATTAGGAAAAAAAAATAAAAATCTCTTAAACATAACCCCCCTGTCATTGCACTGCAATGCTTTCTACATTCCTAAATGCGATACTAAGTCATGCAAAGTTCAAATCTTACAGCTGGAATTGAGAAGAGAGAGACCTAAGAGATGAATAGTATCTGGTTCCAATACCAGAGTTGATTATTTCTATTTCTATTTCAGGGGTTTCATTTCTAGGCAGCCAAACATTAAAATTTCAGAAGTAACTAAAGTGAGGAGGAAGAAAAATATAAATTTTGCACCATCCTCAATTAGCATAAGTTTCTATCAACCACAAACTTTGAGAAGTGAGTCCAAATTTTAATCTACACTAGTTTTCAACTGTCCACCAACTTATTAACTCCAAACTAGATGAAATCCTCTTTTTGTTCTTGCACACAAATGATTTTATGCATGTTATGAAGAGGACCATATGCATGTTCATTCCGTGTTCATGCCTAGACATGCACGTCGATTGAAACACATGGCTGTAAATTATGAAGTGAACTAACAGTTAAAAAAAATGTCATCAAGCATAATATGATGCGTGTCATGAAGTTGTCAAGTTCTCAACCCATCCCTAGTCCACTGTAAGCCAAGGGAGAGAAAGTTAGAAGCAAAAGCACAAATACAAGGCCTTCTTCCACTTTTAAGTCAATTTATTATGAAGTATGATCCAATTAACGTAGATATGTCAGCTCTCAATATCATCGGTCTAAATGCCTTTAGATTCAAGACATCCAAGTTTCATACGCTGCACAAAAAGATCAGAATGCAACTATCGAGGAACAACAAGAAAGAAGCAAGATAACAATACATCGACATAGTAAAAAAGAATACAGAAATCACAATGAGATCATTATAACAAAAGAACCAAGAACCTGGCACCAAATAAGCAGTGAAGGATCAAATATACCAGAAATCCTATTGCCAAGGCCAAGAGCTTGACACAAGTCAACAACTTGTCGATATCTTGCAATCACAACAGCATAATCGATTAGCTCATTTACGTCATATCCACCAGCACTTACCAAGCCATAAGTAGCCAAGAGCTGCAAATAGCCCAGCTTCACCAAACCAGTTTCCTCCTCATCCCGCTCTTCCCCGTCACCGCTATTGGCCTCTATTTTCACCTTCCAGTCGGCTGCCATGGCCCTCGCCCGCTCCTTAACCTCCGCCCCAATCTCCACGTTAGCCCTCATCAATTCCTCCAACAATACCACACACACCCTCCTTAACCCACCTACGTCCGACGTGGAAACCGATCCTCCATCACAAAACCCCTCCAGGGCATCCAAAATCATCGAACCCGGGTCCGCGGCACTCTTCCACGCGTCTGGCAGCTCGACCCGGATAGCGGTCCGTTCCCTGGGCCGCTCAATTATATACTTCCTCAATCCCATTCCGTCCATCTTCTCACAAAGTAACTTCAATTCCGCTCGGGCCGGAATCGGGTCCGCCGAGAGCGAATCTTTCAGTTTCTTGCGTTTAAGTTTCTGGGTTTGCGACTGCGACAATTCGAGCGTCTGGATGGTCGAAAACTTTTCGAGCAAGTCTGACTGAATGGATGTAAAATACGAGTCAAGGTCTGACCATGTGAAATTAAAGGAGGACAAAGCCGAAGAATGCGATTGTAAATCTTCGAATGCTTTCTTCAGGTTCTCTTTCTTCGAGTCGACAAGGC